ATAAGCCCTAGATTTGATGTGCAACTAAAAGACCTCGAAAAATGCCAGAACAATCTGCTCCCATCCCGTCAGTTTGGATTCATCGTACTGACAACCTCAGCCTTCATAGACGATAAAGAAGCAAGACAAAAACACAAAGGAGAAAAACCCTGGGGATCTTTTTCTAGACATGGAATACACATAAATAAAAAGCCTCCATGGACTATGAAAAAATAAAAATACTCAGAATCCACAGTGACCTTAGAAGCTATATCTGAGACCATGTATAATACATTTCTGCCACCCATCTGTGGAAGACACAGACCATTCTGTTCTAAGAAGTGTGTGCCTTTTTTACCTCTTCTTGTTTACCCCATGGGTATAGGTAGGAACTTCCTCTGCGGAACAGAGCCTCAATCCACAAGACCTGAGTCTTGACAACAGGGTAAGAAGGGTGGTGGGTACACAGGAATCCAAGGACAATGTCCTTGCCTGCCACCTTCCTTTGAAGCCTACTGTTTCTTTTAGTTTTTGTTTTTGTTTTGTTTTGTTTTGAGTAAATATAGTCTTGAGCTGGGCAATGGTAGTGCACACCTTTAATCCGAGCACTTCAGAGGCAGAGGCAGGCAGATCTCTGAGTTCGAGGTCAGTCTGGACTACAGAGCAAGTTCCAGGGCAGCCAGAGCTACACAGTGTTCCCAAAAACAAAAAATAAAATAAAATAAACATAGCTTTGAGCACACAATTGGTATTAAATATCACCTTCTACAATTGCTTACAAACTAAAAATTCAAAGCTGCAGAAAGAAGGAAAAGCGATACTTAGACACAGGTCAGAATTCCTGCTTTCTCTTGGTCAAAAGTACCTCATGTTAAGCCTGGAGTTTGAGGGTCCATATTTCATGCTGAAAGTGACTGAGTACAAATATGTGAAAAGAAGGGGAAAAAAAAACAAGCAGAACATCAACAATAAAGTACGCAGGACTCATTATTTTTAACAGGAAAAAGACAGTAATTGACCTTTGCTGTCCAGATTCCTTCCAACTTCTCAAGGAAGCAGCAAGGGAAACTGGAGGACTTGTCCTTAGGACAGTGGCTACTCACAGCCCTTCATGCTGTTCATAAGGGGTCCAGGACCATGTCACCCAGTGATTGACAAACACATTCAACAGCAATAGTAGCAGGGAGGTGACAGAGGCAGCCACTAAGGATCACTTCAAAAGAAAAAGAGAAAGGAAGAGAGATTCTTGTGGAGTCTACCTCAAGAAGACTACAAAAGAACCATGCGACTCCAGGGAGACAGGAGATGCAGGGAAGCCTGGGAAACAGGCTTGAAAGCAACTAAGCACTAAGCAGATGCTACATTAGGTAAGAGGGTGAGGGAGTTGGCATACTATTATAGGACTTAGAGTTCTCAGTCTTCATACACTCTTCTTTGAGACAGGCTTTCTGTGTAACAGCTCTAGCTGTTCTGGAACTCACTCTGTAGAGCAGGCTAGCTTTGAACTCACAGAGATCCTCCTGCCTCTGCCTCCCAAGTGCTGGGATTAAAGGCCTGTGCCACCACTGCCCAGTTTATATATATACATACACACACACACACACACACACACACACACACACAGGTCATTTTCACTGTAATCTAGTCATGTCTGTAAGGAGAACACAGAAAAAGCGAATGTTTGCCCACAGCCACTCGCTAGCAGCAGGCAAAAGAGACTGTATCTCCCAGACTGCTCTACAGAACCTTGAAGCTGAAAGCTGGTATCTCCCTGGGTTACAAGAATGGATGAGTTTTTTGTTTTGTTTTGTTTTGAGACAAGGTATTACTATGTAGCACTGGCTGGTCTAGAATTCACAGAAATCCACCTGCCTCTGCCTCCAGTGTGCTGAGAATAAAGACATGCTCCACCATACCCAGCTGGATGGGCTTTATTTTTAAAGGCTCAAAGTCATGGACAAAGTGGACAGAGATGGACTTAATAATATCGTATAAAAATCCAAGCCCTGTATAGTCTTTGAATACAAAAAAAGGGGGGACAATAAAAACCCAGCACATGTCCTGGATGTCTAGTATAAAGTCAGAATCCCCAACACCGGCTTTAAAGAGGATCCGACCTGAGTTCTGTCTCTGGGACCTACACGGTGGAAGGTAGAAATAACCGCTGAAAGTTGTCCTCTGACTTCACACGTGCACTACAGCACAAGCACACTGGAGCACACTGATACACTCACACAAGTAAATAAAGGATGTGTGTGTGTGTGTGTGTGTGTGTGTGTGTGTGTGTGTGTGTATTTATTTATTTATATATATACAAGAGTCTGCTGCCCACATGATGGCATACATCTTTAATCCTAGACCTGGGAGGCACATGGAGGCAGAGCTCTGTGAGCTCCAGGCCAACCAGGCCTACATGGTAAGACCCTGTCTCAAAAAATAAAACAAACATAAACCGAGTTCAAGACTTCACCTGTGAAATTAAGGGAAAAGCCGTATCAAATAACTTCACAGTCAACACTCAACAGTCAGCCAACGAAGGGCAAAAGAATCATCCAGGACTAAGAAAATACACCCAGACAACTGAAGAAGAATGTGAAGGCAGCACAAAGGGACACAAAGGGACCTCGCAGAGGGTCTGCGCCGAGAACAGCTGGCTAGCACTGACTGACTGCTACAAGTTTGGGGTTCACACCACAGGAAGACTAGCATTACAAAGCCATGTCCTTGCCCTGGTCGGTCTCCAAGTTATGTCCCAAACCTCAAACTCGGTTTACTATGCTCCCAAATACCTCCTAATGAGGAAGGGAAATCCCACTCTAAACTTCCCTTATTGACACCCTCTGCAGTAGGCGTTATGTGGTCTTTTTTGTTGAGAAGTAACCCAATATTCTCTAGAGGATGTAGCTAGAGTGGAAGTCTATAGGTTGGGGGTAGGGGACAGCCTAGCCATACTCTTTGGCCTCAGGGAACATGTAGCAAGTACATGGCCCATCCCTAGTCAGAGTCCCTTCTACCAACAACCCACTTCAGCCTCCTGAAGCCAGCCAAAGCCCCCAAGTAACCTCTAAGACGAAGTCCCCGGCACACCTGTCACCTCCCACTCGCCTCCCTTTAGTCCCCACACAAATCCAGCCCACAGACAGGCACGCCTGGCTAGTGAGCTTTCAGAAGGGTGCATTAGGAAAAACTGCAGAGGAGACAAAGCTGGCCAGTCCCGTTCTTCCACCCAGAGCTCCCACACTTAGCTTCCCCACTCCCCGATAGTCTTCCCTTTCCCCTTTCCTAAGATGCCGGAATGATTTGTTCTGAAAAGCGACAGGTTTATAGGTTAGCCGACACCTCTGCTCTGTGGAATTTTAATTAACTTCTCCCATCGTCAATATGCTAAGGAATGGGGTCTCCATTCTCTGGGGTCAGCAATGTGTTTCAGGTCCTGCTATATCAGCCGTCAAATTGAAGAATTAATGACGTGGCTAATCGGCTCTAATTCTTAGGAAGGAAAAAAACTGAAAGGGAGTTGTGGAAGAGAGCAAGAGGAGAGGTGCAGACTCCACGAGGTGAGGAGAAAGAGGCTGAGGTGGCTGAGCAAAGGGCACCAACTTGCTTACAAAAACAAGTGACTGACTTAATCAGGTGATGGAAGTAGGCAGCCCTAGAGCTTTCCCAAGTCCATCCAGGTGGGGTGAGAGGCATCAAGGAGGTGCACACAGACGACCCTCCTCCCAACTTCCATTACAGTTCAACCTTAGGAGAGTGTCTAACCCACTGGGGAGGGCAGCGAGCCTGCCTTGGTTCAAGACAGCCTAGACGGGTGCTAGAGCACTGGCTCATCAGCTAAGAGCCCTCCCCAACTGCTCTTTCCCAGGATCTAGGTTCGATTCTCAGCACCCACACAGTGGCTCATAACCATCCATGACTCCACTCCCAGGTGATCCAACACCCTCTTCTGGCCTCTGGGGGTACTGTACATATGTGATGATACACAGAGATACACACAAACAAAACACCATACATACAAAATAATAAAATGCTTTTTTTTAAAGCCTAGGTAAAAGCACATGATATATCTGAAATTGTTTACATGAAACTTACATTATGTACAATGAATATAAGTCAATAAAATGTTTTTAATAATAATATAACCAATCTGGAACTGCAATTACAGATCATTAGAACTTACTACGTAGCAGGAAAATCACTAACTAGCTCATGGCCAGTCTGAGCTATGTAGTGAGTTCTAAACCAGCCTCTGCTACACAGCAAGACTTGGGTTTTGTTTGTTTGGTTGGTTTTTTTGTTTAAAAAAAAAAGGTACAGGGCTGGAGAGATGGCTCAGCAATTAAGAGCACTGGCTGCTCTTCCAGAGGACCTGGGTTTGATTCCTGGCACCCACACAGTGGCTCACAATAATCTTTAACTGCAGCTCCAGATACAACATCCTCTTGTGGTCTCCATGGGAACCAGACACACCAGTGGCACACAAACTACCATACACATAAAATAATAAAACAGAGTTGTACCTGCACTACAATTATCTCTGTTTCTACTCCTCTGTATATACAGATGAGGGCCCAGTTGGCAGGCTCCAAACCTCTCCTGCTCTCCTGATACCCAGAGCCTGTAAGGGATACTCCAGAAGAATTTTCAGGGAACAAAACGGAGGTGAGTCACGACAGCAGGATAGCTGCTGCTGTAGACTCTCAGGTACACTGAGAAGCCTTTGCTTTAAAGAAACCCCACAGGACATCTGCTCAGAAAGGTAACACTGACCCTCAGTTACATTCCGGTGTAGAATCCTTGCCTTAACATTTCTCATCAGATGCTTAGGAAAGGTTATCTCAATTCCACAAGTATGTGAAAAGACCTTCAGACCTCAAGTCTCTGGAGAATGTTTAACTCTCCAGGAGAGTGGTTCATAGCAACCTGGAATAGACAGACTAGTGGAAATTTCTCTAGCTTATCTGACCTAATAAAATGAAAACATTCTTGTGTGCAACAGAAACCCAACATGTCTCCCTTACCTGAGTAATGGGCTGATAGCAATGGACCAGACCCGGTCTTCAGTCTGGATGGTGTGTGAGCACTGCCCCAGCCGGCCCGAGGCCAAAGGCCATACCTGGAAACAGAAGAGGAAACGCTCTTGTTGGCATCGCCTGGGATTAGAAGAAAGAGATGTACAGCAGGTGGGAGGCGTGTGACTAGGGAGGAGGGATGGAGAACCCTTTCCGTCCTGCAGACAGAGCACAGGGCATCAGCAGACACCAGCTTCCAGTTCACCTGCCACAGACAGCCCTGACCACTCACCTTTACTTCCACCCAAGAGGCCTTAATTTCTAATCAACTTTCTACCAGACAATGAGAAGTTACACATCCCCTATGTGAGATCCAACTAAGAAAGGGTAGAGGGAAGTAGGCCGCCTCTCTCTCTCTCTGAAACTTCCTGTGTCTGTGGATCTTCCTTTCTCTATCTTTCACCAAAACTTTAGGCATACAGGGAGAGACAGGGGATCAAAGTCCAGTCTGGGAGACATGTGCACTGTTAGCCGAGTGAGAGAGCTGCAAATCAGGGACGAATGGAGAGACTTCAAAGTGACAAGGGACTTGTTGTTGTTGTTTGCTCATTGCCCAGGGTCCAAAGCTAGTCATGCCAGCAGGGAATTTAGCACCTAATGTCACCAAAGGGAGCAGAAAAGCTGAACTCTCTTAAGCTTCCATATCTCCGCAGGTTAAAAATATTGCTTGGAGCACACTATCTGGTCCCTATCAGTCAGGAATGTACATTAGCAGCCACTCGGGGCTTAACTCTAATCAACACTCCCTCCCAGAGCCTCTCAGCAGCCAGTGCATTTAGAAATCTCCCATTAAGCACAAGGCTCCCCCTCACCTCGCCCTACCCCAGATGACACACACAGGGACATAAGCCTCTAACCAAACAGAAAGGAAACCTCAAATGTACAGGGCTCTCCCCGGAGCAGCCACAGAGGGGTCCCATGGCAGTTAGATGGATCAATGACCTCTCAAGGTCCCTGCAGAGCTATAAGGGGAACACACCAAACTCAGGCAGGACCTTAGATGGAAGAACTTAAGAAAACATTCCTTCAGTGTAAGGGGCAGGTGATAGAATGGGGGTGGTCTTGCCTTCTTAGGGTCACATGGTATCTCTTCCCTATAAAAGGAGAAAGTGTTTCTTTGAGTCTCTGGGTATGATGGAGTGGGGGATGGGACAATAGCAGGAGTAACATCTCCCAAAACTAAGAAAAGAAATTTAACAAGAATATCCTGGGGCTGGAGAGATGGCTCAGGTTAAGAGCACTGACTGTTTTCCAGAGGTCCTGAGTTCAATTCTCAGCACCCACATGGTGGCTCACAACCATCTGTAATGAGATCTGGCGCCCTCTTCTGTGTTCATAATAAATAAATAAATCTTTAAAAAAAGAATATCCTGGAGGAGGAGGGAAACAGAAAACAAAACAAAACCTCAATATTCCCTGTAAGGCTGGTACTCTGGCATCTGCTTTGTATCTGCCAGTCAAATCCTTTGGTAATAACTAGATGCCCTTTGGTTTCTTCCCTTAGACTGCCCAACTTGGAAGAGATCTTTGCCTTTTCCTTATCGGAACTCCCTCAGAGGCAGGTTCTCGCTTGCAGGGTGAAGGGGGTACTCCTGATTTTCAAAATCTCTGGGGATAGCCTAAACCCCAGTTTACTGGTCGCTTCCACAGAGACAGCTGGCAGAACCTGGGAACCAACAAACCCCGGGACAAGGGTACAGATCTGTGGGAGTGACTCCGGAAATGCACTGCCAGTTCCAAGCATCATTCAGGAAGTGGCCAGCCTGTCCCATAGCACAGCATCCTCTGGCAACAAGAGCGACAGAGGTTGACACAATAAAGATCTGGTCAGATCTTTGCTATCAATGCAAAACAGACCCACCCTGGAAAATATTCAGTGAAAGTAGACATTTATACAGTCCTTTTAGAAGGCAGACTGGAGGGGACAAGGCTCCTACAATGATCATTGTCTGATTCAGGAATTCTAAGACTGAGAATTCATCCAAAAAAAAAAAAAATCTAAAACAAAGAAAAACCAAAATGGCAAATAAAATATTTCCTGTAGCCTATTATTATAGAACAAGCAGATAGTCTTTGGAATCTGACCAGTCTGGGTTAGAACCCTGCCTGTGACTTCTTATCTTTGCTCTTAGAGATATTTCCTAGCTTCTTGGCCTTAGATTCATCTCATCCAATGGAGTAAAAAGTGCCCTATGTCTCAGGACCATGCTGTAGAAAAGGGAAGATAAATACAGAGTACTAGAACAGCATGATGTACAGAATTTAGCAGGAATCAGGCCCTTAAGAAAGGATTCTTATGGGGCTGGAGAGATGGCTCAGAGGTTAAGAGCACTGACTGCTCTTCCAAAGGACCCGGGTTCAATTCCCAGCACCCATATGGCAACTCACAACAGTTCCAAGAGATCCAAAACCCTCACACAGACATACATGCAGGCATAAAATAAAAATAAATAAAAAATAAAAATTAAAAAAAAAAAAAAGAAAGAAAGGATTCTTATTTCCAGGTTCCTGTATCCAGGAAGAAATTAGACAGAATCATCCATCTACTAGAGAACATTTTATGTAAATGATGGTAAGTTCCTCTGGAAGCCACTAAAGATAACACAAGGGCTGGGACAGAGACTGGCTGTGGTAGCATACACGTAATCCCAGCATTCAACAGGTGGAGGAACAATCAGAAGTTTAAGTCATACTTGGTTACATGGAAACTTCAAGGACAGATTCTAAAAAAAAAAAGTATACACACACACACACAACTTGTATAACAGAAAACCTTATAGAGTAGATACCACAGGGTACACTGTGTATCTAAAACACATTACAATTATGCAGGGGAAGATATTTACCCAAAAAGATAAAATGGATAAGGTGCTTAGCACAGTGCCTGGCTACAGTCTACCTTGTTAGAAAGTAATTCTCGAAGGCATGTGGTGGCACACACCTGTAATCTCAAGAGGCAGAAAAACTGCAAGTTCAAGGTTAGACATTGCCGGACACTGTCTCATCTCAAAAGAGAAAGAAAGACGGATCTGAGGTTTCGGAGAAGAACCTACGGCTGTGCTTAGCTGACTAACAAGCGCCAAACCACCTTCAGAAACCTTCTGACACCCACAGACCAAGGCTGCTGTCGGCTGTGAACGGGGAAGCCTCTCACCGTAAAGCAGTGAGCAGAAGTGATCCACGGACCCATGGCTGCACGAGATACTGACTACAGGGCTGTTGGGAGCATTTATACCACCCTCTTCAGACTCGGGGAACACTGCAGAAGAAGGGGAGGAAGGAAGGCCGAGAGCCAGGGAGACAGGAGGAGAGCCTTCCAAAGGCTATCTTCTAAGCACAGCACGGCCACAGCAGTCATGCACTCACAGGAACTGGCTACCGACAGTAAGCCCCTAGCAGTCAGCTATGAAGAAGAGGGCTCACGGGCATCAGTGCCGCATCTTTTGGCAAGTAACAGATTCTGGGAATGGAAGAGGCATACTATCCTGTTATATACCTGCTCATAAAGATAAAGATAGCCCTAGTTAAACTCTGTAGAACACTAATAAAAACAAAAGCTAGTAAATACAGTTAAGATATTTGTAAGGGGGGCTGGAGAGATGGTTCAGTGGTTAAAAGCACTGGCTGCTCTTCCAGAGGTCCTGAGTTCAGTTCCCAGCACCCACATGGTGACTCACAACCATCTGTAATGGGATCTGATACCCTCTTCTGTCTGCATGCAGATATATAGGAAGACAGAGCACTCATACACATAAATAAATAAATCTTTAAAAAAAAAAGAAAAAAGATATTTGTAAGGAAGATGGTGGGGGAACTAACGGGGCAAGGTAACCAGATGCACGCAAATACGTATGAAATCAACAAAGAACAAATGTTATTTTTTTTTTTTTTTTTTTCGAGACAGGGTTTCTCTGTGTAGCTTTGCGCCTTTCCTGGAACTCACTTGGTAGCCCAGGCTGGCCTCGAACTCACAGAGATCCGCCTGGCTCTGCCTTCCGAGTGCTGGGATTAAAGGCGTGCGCCACCACCGCCCGGCACAAATGTTATTTTTAAAAGAGGTCTGGAGAGTCCCCTGTCTGTGCCTCCCCAGCACTGGGATAACAGACAAATGCCACTGTCCTGAAATGTAAGCCCCGACCGCTCAGACCCAGATCTTCATGCTCGGCTAGTAAGCACATGGCTGAGCCATCTCTCCAGCCCCAGGTTTACTGCAAGTTAAAGCCAGAATCTTTGCGAGGAATGCTACAAGTCATTGACTGAGCAAAACTCAAGTAAATATGGGATGGGGAAGAGGAAGAAACAGTTGACAGGAAATGTGGTTTCCACGAAGGTTCAAAATATTCAATAAAGCCAGGCAGTGGTGGCGCACGCCTTTAATCCCAGCACTCAGGAGGCAGAGGCAGGCGGATCTCTGTGCCAGCATGGTCTACAGAGCGAGTTCCAGGGCAGCCAGGCAACACAGAGAAGCACTGCCTGGAAAAACAATAACAATAATACTAAAGCCAGGTGTAGCAGCATATGTCTGTAATCTCAGCCCTTGGAGATGAAGACACAAGGATCATCTCTGGCTACATGCTACCATCTCAAAAAGAAAAGCAAAGGCAACCTGCCGATCTTTCTTGGGCTTCCTATACTGGCATTCATTCTCACTAAATACAAAATACAAGGAAGAAAATTTCAAAAGGAAAAGAAATGTTCATAAAATGGAGAGAACCTATTTAACCCTTGTCTTTATATAAATCAGCAATGTGAAAAAGCAATCACTGGAGGGTACCCGGAATCAGAAGAGTCATTGATAAAACTGTAACTTCCCTCCTGAGGTCTCTCTCCATGTGGCTTAGAGGCCCATTTGCTAATGTTAATAAACATTTTTCTACAATGGAGCTTCTAGATTCTGGAAAACAGAAAATCAAGACCTCTGGGGTCTTCTGCATCACCGAGTGAACTGTCAGCAGAGCCCCCACTGCAGCCCCAGAGCCTGTATCCTGGCTGGGCTGCCGCACCCACGACAGGAGACTCTCTTATTGTCTCATAAGCAGCAGTGCTCGGCAGAGATGGGATGAATTGGCTCCACAAAGCAAGGACGACACTGTTTATCAGTTTCACCTTTATGTCTTGGTGGATGTCTGCCGACCAGGCAATCTGGCAACGACACAACCAGCAGCAGCCTTCCTGTGGGCTCCACTGCCTACTGACCACACCACTCTCCAGAGAATCAGTAAAAACGTGTTTTAATTATCAGCCTGATTGCTTATAAACAAGGTGGTGAAAAATTAACCTCTCTAAACAGAGAACATGCAAAAGGAGGGAGATTTTAAAATAAAATACTGGGGTTAGAACTCAGCCCACAAACTTGAGGGAACAGCTCAGGAGGAAAAGCTGACCAGCCCCCTATTTCTGCATGCACACCACATTTCAAGTGAGTGGCAAGCGTCCCAGACACTGTCCACTCCTCTCCCAGTCCAGCTGGCAGGAACACATGCTGGCATAGCAAGAGGCATGCCACAGGCACATAAGTAAGTTCTTTATTGTGTCACCTCTCCCTGCCCTCACCAACACCTCAGCCAATCCTGGACCCCAAGGCTCTCTCCACCCTCTGCCACCTGAGTCCCTACAGAGGAGGAGGAGGGGATGACAGTATGTGGGAGAATGCCTCACCTTGGCCGTCCTGTCTCTGGAGCCACTCACAATGATGCCCCCTTTGCAGTCCACACAGTTCACCTCCTGCTCATGGGCTGAGTACTTGACAGTGAAGGTGCTATGGAGCTTATGAACACCAATCTTCCCATCTCTACAAGAGAAGAAGGAGCCCATCCCCAGGAGTTAATGACTCTTTCTGTAGCAAGAGGGCCAGTCTACTGAAGCAGCCCACGTGTCCAGCGACGGCCACATTTGCCAAGCATTCTGCAGTGTGGCCCACAAGGTGCTGAGTGTTAGATACCTTTACTTCTTCAGCACACTTGGGGAGCTGAGAAAGAAAATAAACCTCCCCTCACAGAGTATCAAACTTGCTCTGCTTTGCATTAAAGGTTCTTCCTGTTTTCTTCTCTGGCCAACCCTATTAACATCTTTTGGTAAATCTCTGCTTTGGGTGTTTAAAAAAAAAAAAAAAGCCTACCTTTTTAAAAGTTTCCCTCCTTATCCCTTTGCTGTTGAGCCAGAAAAGTCCAAAGCAGACACAGGTCCCTAAAGAACACCAAGGAAGACCCAGCACTTACCCCCCTGCACTGATGATATGCGAGTTTGCCAGCACAAAGTGACACACGTCCTCATCATGCCCAGCGAAGACTCTGAAGGGTCGGCGGTTCAAGCTGGCACCATCTGGGCGGAACTGGTAGGCCAGGATGAAATTAGCCTGAGATATGTACAGAGAAGCATCCTCCAGCTGCATCCAAGGCATCTGACTGCAGAGAGGGACCAAAAAAAAAAAAAAAAACCAACACGTAAAACTGCTGCCTGTACTTCTCATAGATAAGTTGAGGAGTCAGGGAAGTCAAAAGGAAATTTCTAGCCAGGTAAAGTGACCTCTGCGTTGTAGCTAAGTCCAATTGGTAAGTTTCAAGGTTCCAAGATTCTGACATATATTCCTTGTTCAACACATCAGTTAAGGTGTGATAGAGAAAGGTAAGTTTTAGGAAACCCCATTCCCTTGTTATTGGAGCAAAGGAACATTTATAAGTGAAAAGAATCCAGCCATTTAGAAAGTATGCAGACCTGCTCAAGAGATGCCTTGATCCTCCCAGGGATGTTGACATTCTATAGTGGAGGCTACATGGGGTGACATAAAATAACTCCAAAGCATCGTGCTAGAGCTCAGGGGCTACAAAGAACTCAGCTCTCATAGCAACTGATAAGAGACATCCAGAGAAAGTTCTAGATCCTCTCTCCAATCTCCAAGAGAGAGAAAGCTTAAAAACCACCAGCCAATCCACCATGGCGTGGGACTACAGCCTTAAGAAAAAAAAGATTTGCTGCAAATAGCGGCATACACCTGTAATTCCCAGGAGGAAGAGGAGGTTCAAGGCCATCTTTAGATGCATATGTAGGTCAAGGTCACCAGAGGCTACATCATAGGCTATCTCAAAAAACCAAGGGGGTGTGTGAAAAAAAATAGAGACGATGACAGGGAAGAGAAGAAGAGGGAAGGGAGGGGCACTCTACAAGACAACTAGGTTCTATAGGGGGACCAAGTCCCTTCCCCGAGACAGACATCCCACCTGTGCCAATCCTACCCAACAGTCCTGGAGCTACCAGGTCTCAAAAAATCAAAGGGAAAGCTGACTCATCCCCGTGGACAGACACCATCGCCCACTGCCAAGCCTGTCTGAGCAAACTGGGCTGTGTGTCTTTCCCAGTCTCCTTAAAACAAGCGTCATGGGAATGTGGAAAAGTTCTGCAAATTGACTTGCCGGGCCATTAAATGCAGCTTGGACTTTGTAGTAACTGAGTTTCTGCTCATGCAGTTTTTACAAGAGTGTGCATATATTATATAGAACATGTGTAAAGTGTATGTATATGTCTGCATTCTTATTATTCACAATCCTCTTCAACATCTTTTTCACAATTATGTAGCACATTCAAATGGGCAGCAAACAGAGGGGCTGGAATCCATGTACTTACAACCATGTGGTGAACAGACATTTACCTAGGACAAGAAACCAGGTTCATGCCAGGTGAACAGTGAAAAATCCTGGGGCAACCTGGTAACTGTTCTGTGTTTATTTGCCAGACTGCCTTAAATTAATGCCCTAACTGACAACACCAGGAACAAGAACTTGATAGAGAAATCACCCTTTGATGTTACAGGCACAAATGACGGGGTGTGACGGCAGTGTGATCCTGCACTAAGGAGCTGAAGCACAAGCATGGCAAGCTCGAGGTCAGCCTGGGCTACAAAGGAGATCCTGCTTTTTAAGAAAACCACAACCAGGTAAAAGGGGAAACTGGAAGACAAAGCCTTCCATCATAAAAATCCATCTTTCTCTTTCATACCTTCTTTATCATAATACCACCACATAATTCATAGAAACTGACATCAGCCAAACCACAAACAGCATAAGCAAGACAAAGGGTCATTATGGTGGTGGGAATGAGAATGGTACCCCATACGCTCATATATTTGAATGTTTAGTCACCAGGGAGTAGAACTGTTTGAGAAGGATTAGAAAGATTAGGAGGTGTGGACTTGTGGAGTAGGTGAGGCCTTGCTGGAGGAAGTGTGTCACTGAGAATAGGCTTTGAAGTTTCAAAAGCCCAGCCCAGCCCAGCCCCAGTCTCTCCTCTCCTCTCCTCTCCTCTCCTCTCCTCTCCTCT